TTATATCAGTGAATTATCAAGTGTTTAAGTCTTATATTCTTACCAGCTCTTTCTTTCTTTCTCATTTATTTTAGGCTCATTCCTTGAAGACTGAAGGGAAATTAATGGAATTGGTCGATCCAAGATTGGAATCGAACTTCAACGAAGAAGAGGTGATCACGACTACCAAGGTGGCGCTCCATTGTACCAATGTTGTAGCAGCCAAAAGACCAAGTATGTCAGTAGTGGTAAGCATGCTAGGAGGAAGAGCATGTGTTGCAGAGTTTGTTTCAGACTCAAGTGTCTTGATTGACAAAGTTAGCAGCTCGAGTATTTCAATGGATATGCCTTTGACTTCTTCCTCAAAACCAATTTCTAATTTGTATCCATTCACTTACTGATAGCTGGGAGGATTGAGAGTCCTCACCCAGAAAATCTGTTTTCATTTACACTTTTTGCATTTTTTTCATTCGTTAGAAATGTTAGGATTGATACCACGTGCTGTGACACCAATCACCGGATTGAGATGTTGAAGTTATATGGAAAAATATTATTAGATCAAAAACAAAAGAATAAAAGAAGACAAGAATACGACAGAGGAATTATGAGATTTTATTGACTCAAGAATAATGGAGAATATAGAGAAAATTACAATGAATCATATATTCTAGTAATCTATTTTCTCACGCATATTAAATTGTATAGAGGAGCCTAATATTTATAGGGAACATGTAGGGCGACATCCAAACCCTAATAGATGAGTTGTAGTTGAAGTAGAATGCTAAAAAATGTGTTAAAACACTAAACGGCCTTGGGCAAGGTAACACTGTCGCTCTAGCGACAGGGCAGCGACAGGCGAGCGACAAGTCTCCGGAGAAAACCTACAGGTGTCGTTCGAGGGGTCAGCTAGCGAAAATGCGGCGACTTTTCTTCCTAGTCCATAATTTCAACCTATTCAACTCTAATACAAATTCCAACTCGCAATGGGCTTCCAAAATAGAACATCCTCTTGACATAGGACTCAAATAGCATTCCAAACTGAATTCTTCTTGACGTGCACTTCAAGTAGAGTTCTTCAATTACTTCAACAAGGAAATTCGAGTCACACCCAAATCCAACAATCTCCACCTTGACCCAAATTTCACTAAGGAATGAGCTAGCTTCTTCAACAATAACAAAAAAATTAATTTCTCCAACACAATACTCCACATCTTCCAATGAATCCAAGCACTACTCTGTAGAATTATCTCAGATTTCCAAAAAATCATAATGATTTTATAATTTGCCAAAATTGGATTGTAACACACCCCAAAGCAGAATCAAACCCAAATGCTTTTAAAGAAGGCTCATTGCTAGATTGTACACATTTTACTCCACTTAAAGCATGCTCAACAAAATCAACATCCATATACCTTGTTCCACTGGGTCCTTCCCTAGCAATTGAATACAATTGCACCACAGGTGATTGTGGCAAAGCAGTATTATCCATATCTTTTGAACTCCATCGAGCTGTATTCTTCAAATCTAACCCTTTATGAGCTCCTAAAGGCATTGTACCAATCTGAATGTCTACCACGGAACATAATCTGTGCTGATTGACTCTTCTAAATTCTGCATGGCCCTCCAAGATGTATAACTGAGACATTTTCTGTCCCTCCAATACAACCTGGGCACCCTTACAAACCTTCAAGGCTCCACCTCCACCTCCACCTCCACCAAAGAGCTCAAAACCTTTTGAATCAATGATAGATAACGAGATGAGATTCTTCTTCAAATCTGGCGCATGTCGAACCTGGCCAAGTGTTCTAATTGTCCCATCCAAAAGCTTCAATCTGGCTGTACTAATTCCAGCAACCCGACAAAGTGCGTTGTTTCCCATAACAATTACACATTTGGAAACAGTTTCATATGTAGGAAACAAGTCTTTATTAGGACACATATGAAACACAGTGAATCAAGAATCGAATCCTCTTTTGGTTTAGACTCGACGTCAGAAATAGCCAAGAGTTCTCCATCAATGTTCTCCACGAGGTCTGCTTCGCCTGAAGTATCTAATTGCTTCCCATATTGACTTGCAGCCATCCTTTCTTTATTCTGCAATTTGTAGCGATTCTTCTTCAAGTGCCTATTCTTCTTGCAGTAGTTACAAATTTGATTGTCCCTTCCAGAATTACCATGAGCAACAAGGACAGCTCCATCTCTAGCCTTAGAAACCAAATGCTTCATCTTCTCTTTTGAATATAAAGCATCATACACCTCCTCTATGGTGAGTATCACGACTATACAAGATCGTGTCTCTAAAAGAAGAAAACAAAGCTGGCAACGAACATAATAGGATCAATGCCAAATCTTCATACTCTACTTCCAAAGTTTCTAAATCAGTGACGATCTCTTTAAATATAGCCAGGCGGTCTTCCAATGATCCTTCTTCTGCCATTCGATGGGAGTATAAACGCTGCTTGAGATTCAACTTGCTTGTCAGACTTTTATTTATGCACAATTGTTCCAACTTCAACCATAAAGCAGCTGCTGAATTCTCCTTCAAAACGTCCTGAAGAATGGTATTTTATAGATGAAGATGCATGTGAGAAACTGCCTTTTTATTCTTTTGTAATTTCTCCTCCACTGTCAAAGTTGCTAACATCCTGTTAATACCCAACAAAGTATCATCCAAATCTAGTGCTCTGATCCAAAAGGGGAATGTTATACTTCATGGAAGCCATCAAGAACAAAAAATATCGAACAAATCAAACATTGCACTTTGCGGAACTGCTGAACTTTGGGTCTGATACTACTTGTTAGAATTGATACCACTTGTTGTAATACCAATCACCGGATTGAGATGTTGAAGTTATATGACAAAATATAAAGTATTAGATCAAGAACAAGAGATTAAAAGAAGACAAGAATATGGCAGAGGAATTAGAAGATTTTATCGACTCAAGAATAATGGAGAATAGAGAGAAAATTACAATGGATCCTATATTCTAGTAATCTATTTTCTCACACATATTAAATTTTATAGAAGAGCCTAGTACGAGACACAGTGCAGTGCCAGGCGGACGACAAGTCTCGGGAGAAAACCCGTAGGTGTTGCTCGAGCGGCCAGCTAGCGGTAGACTAGCGAAAATGCGGCGACTTTTCTTCCCGGTCCATAATTTCAACCTATTCAACTTAATACAAATTCCAACTCCCAATGAGCTTCCAAAATAGAACTTCTACTTGACATAGGACTCCAATAGCATTTCAAACTGAATTTTTCTTGACGTGCACTTCAATTAGAATTTTTCAATTAATTCAACAAGGAAATTGGGTCACACCCAAATTTCAACAAGAAATCGAAATACTGATACGTAGTTGTTTAATCGAGATGATGTTTTGCTCCTTGTTTGGGCTATTCCAAATTATCATACCATGACTAGGAGCTAGATGATGGCATGTTGGACTTTTTTTGCCTTCGTGCATGTAACGACCCAAATATTAAAGGTTTGAATCATTACCAAAACTATTTATAAGAAAAATCATAAATTACACAATGTTGCCTGCAATTATGTAGCAATAATTTACTAAATTTTATATAGAGAAATTTTCAGATCTTGTATTCATCTATTCTATTAAAAATAAAGATTTTTCCCAATATCACAATATATTCATACATGTTTGGATAGACCATACGAAAATCAATCTAAAACTTAATAATTAGGGACGCAATTTCGTAGAGTTCTAGAAATCATAAGAATGACAAATGAAAATGGATTGCTAATGTTGTCATCCTCTAATTTATTATAAATCCAATTTCAAGCATAATTAAATACGTCAATTAGTACCACATAAAAATTAAAGTGCAAAATTAGTCATCTGACCTAAGAAACATCATCAATATCTTATTCCCCACTTTGGAGAA